CACCACTGCTGAGATGAGTCAAGGGCAATTTGTGCGGACTTGGGAGGCACTGGATTACTCGCAAAATCCTCCCGGGACGAGATATTACATGCGCCATATTGTATGCAACTTGGCGAGTCTCAGAAACCTCGTGCTGCGATGTCCAGCCATCACTCCCAGACTTCAGTGTACCGGTCTGTCTAAGAAGATACACCTCTTAGACTGCCATTCTTTGATGACCGCATGGTCTTAACGTCAATATGTAACAGAAGTAATGGTTTATTGTTTCCCTTTCTGATCCGTTCGTCCATATCTCCCACAGGCAGACTACGATGGGATCCTTGCTAGCTTGGAGGCTCACTATATCGTACCCTGTTCCATATGCCATCCAGTCTGACCAAATCGTCATTTTCGTCATCAGTCCTGACCGCATCCCTTACTCACAACACCCAAGGTGCCCGTAACCAAAGCAATACCTCCAGTGGTTTGGTAACATTCTCGTCCTTTTAAATTTGAGCGCACTGGTTGCAGATCTGCATGTTTTGGAAACAACTGTTATCGCCATCATCATGGAAATTCACATGGTATAGCAAAGAAATAGCCTGGCTTTGAAAGCGCCAAAAATGAAATCGCTTTAAAAGGCAGCTCACAGTGACCGCAGTCACATGAATCACAACTAAACAAACACTTCACAACTTGTAATCATCCTCCCTCCCCCCAGCACTGTACACATCAAAGGTTGTTGGAATCTAATCGAAGTCGAAAGTATCACAGGCCTCCCAATACGTTCATATCATGCGTGCCCCTTGTCTTCCCTGTGGTCTCATGAGAATCGCGGATTCATCTCGGTCATGAATGATTATCTGCTGGCAATAACTGGGCTTTCATTTCAGAGAATGTGGGTGGCAGCATGAACAGAGGTTATGAACTGACAGACTGATATGATGGAGTTCCTTTCTTGCATACAATTGCTAAATTTAAATGTTGTACCATGCACGTGGGAGAATTCTAATCACACTGTCGGTGAAAAACTGGCCAATTTGTCCATGGGCAAAGTATTTTTTGATTTTTTTAAATGGGATCTCAACAATGCGGCTATTGCCCAAGAAGAGGGTCAAATGCAAAAGAAGGGGGCATGTAAGTAGCACCCTCACTCAGGAAAACCGATTTTCTCCCTTGTCACCATTGCCTCATGAGGAAATCAAAGTCAACTGTGATCCAGCTTCTGCCTCTTCACAACCCACGTAACAATATCACTGCTGCCACGGCTGCATTCTCAATATCAATAATGAAGCATTCTGGTACCAAGCAACCAGTTGCTTTCTCATATGTCGTAGCGCAATGATGCTATTGCAGCTATCTTCGGTTTTCATCAGTTAGATGTGTATCTAGCATTTTGTTTCGTGCGATATATTTTGGGGATCAGAATATCAGACGTTTGAAAATTCTCAATGCCTGGTAATCCCTTGCAATTTAAGGGACTTCGAAGTATCGAGAATCTAGCAATTACACCACAATATATAATGTATACAGCACAATACAAAACATACACACACAATCATGTATAATTATTATTCTTCCAACTAATGGACCAAAAATACACGCCTTTATCATGGGTAACTACTCAATTGACAACCGCAAAGGGAGGACACAACAGAAACATAAAGCAAGTGGGAAAGGGTCAGATGAACCATATTGAGCATTGTCTATCCCCATCAAATTCCCCATATTTTTCTGGAAACGGCGACCTCGACAAATTTTTTGTTGTGCAAACCCCTTCCAGCACTTCCTCCTTTGGATTATGAGTTCGCCCTCACAAGCGCACAACAGACATTGAGTCATGATTGATTCTTCTATCACTCGCTAAAAGCAGTCACATAACTGATTTTGTGATCATTCTCAAATTATACAGGCAATGCAGTGTGCCGACAGGTATCAAAGTTCAACACATCGCCATTTCTGTCACCTATATGACAAATATCTCTGTATATTGACCCAGCCCCATTGATATGCTCGAAGTGCATTGTCTATCATGTCTCATGCAAACAATGAACCCGCTCGTGAATCACCGCCCCAAAATGTTTTCCAGCTGAAAATTGGAGGCAACCTGCAACCATGCATCACTCGAAAATTATCTGGCTGCGCTTCCTCAGATGACAGCAATTTAAGTTAAGGATACGTGCACAGACGAAACTCTAAATCCATGACCAATTTAGACTCAAACAGCTATCATAAATTGCACGTTTAATCGGCTGTACCGTCGCAACCGGCTAGCTTGGATTCGAACCATCCGTTCCACCACACAAACAATTCCAATTTGTCCCAAGCAGAGCTGGTTGAGCTGCAAAAAATTGAAGGTTTGTATCTGGAGGAAGTTGAAGTTCGTCAGGTTGCCGCGATGTGTGTCGCACTTCTGACAGGGCATGCTTCTATCCCAGCGAGCGAAAAGCACCACACCATAGATCGCAGCATGGCAACATGAGTATAAGCAAATGGGCAAGATTTTATGCATCCGTCTGGTGGCTGACAGGCGCTGCTGCCAGAGCTTTGCCGAGCCTCTTCTCCAATTCTCCCAGTGCATTATTAATATCTTTCTGCCGCAAATATACTTCGTCTACTTGTTGCTGCAGTTGGCGCGTGTGCAGCTCTCGGTTGTTAACTTCCCTTTCGAATTCCTGACAGGCAGTGCCACAAGACACGGTTTTATCGAGGATAAAAATTGCGACCTTGGGTGCTAAAAGGAATACTCAAGTGGCCATTGCGATGAAATAGTGTTTGATCAAGACCAACTTACATTATAGTATTTCGAAGGTACGTTGTTCTGCGCAGCGAACAACAAGCTTGGGCACATGTCCACCTGCATTATCGTTTCTGAAACGAAAAAGACAAATTCTCCCAAAGAGGGAACATTAATCAATAGAAAGAACTACTGAGCAACACCAGCTACACTATATCGATTCGTTTCTGCATTTGTACTGAGTATATATGAACTTGTACTCGTGCTTCTCGCTGTGTTTGCTTTCGTTTACCTACATTGTTGTAAATGGTCCCAATGGCGTATCCTTGGGATCCACATGGAGACATGTATCTCTATCTTTAAAATTGTGCATTCTCCCCTCTCCAAATCGCACCTCCTCTTCGTGCGTGTGAATGTGCATCGGTCCACTGCTCCCGCGACGGAGATTTCTGAAACTTATGCGCGGCGCTTCGCTCTTCATGCCGTCAACGCTTTGCTGCTTGTATATCTGGCTGCTCGTGGCGCTGCCGCCAGCAGAACAATAGGAAACGGCAGAAAACCTAGAATCGCATATTCAGTGCGCAATGTTAAAATGCGCATGTGCCATGAAACGGTACTGTCACAAATAACTTCTTAATGCTCGCCGCGTCCTGGATACAAGGAGCACATGTTCAAGTTCAACCATAAATTGGCGTATCTGCTGGACACACATACAAAATATGCAGGGCATATTTCTTTCACAGGCCGGCCATACTTTGATTTTGCACAACCCACATCGTGTGCTAACTCTTGCACGAGGGATCTTTTGAGCACGAGTTCGGGATTTTTTCGGCAATTGGACCTTCAGTGCTGGAATTGGGAAAGCGTGTGTGAGAAGGGGATCTCATTTTTTCGTTTTCTCTCGATTCTCTTTTGCTGAGACTGTGTGGACATGGAAGCACGAGCAGCCGCCTTCCAACAAACAATTGTTTGGCTTTCCCGCCCTCCACATCCTATCTGGTGAAAAGGTCGTGCTTTGTCATCCTACGGAAATTTCATTGGAGTATTTTGCCGATGACCATGTACTTGACACATTCCACGACATCAATTCCCCCCCTGTACATTCGCACTTCCTTATATAAGCAAACGTCGCATATCGCTCATTATGTCCACACATTTGTGTTTGCTCTATTTGACACACGTTCTGTTCTCCACACGCCTTTTTGCACCACACGAAATCGCTTGTGCATGGCAAAGCAATGTGCGAAATGCCTCGAAATCGATACCAATGTTAGCTCACGTGTTGCCGCTGAGGTACTTTGCCGTGCAGCTCTCGGCCTGTTGCTGCACATAACCCCGGTTGTGAGCCGCGTTGTTTGCAATTTTCTCCATGTTGCTGCGCTGCAGCTGCTCCCTTCTCTGCAGTGCCTGCTGCATTATGGGCTGCACGAGCTCCGGGAAGTCGGAGAGTACATTTTCCATGTGCTGCCTGTGGCATCGCCGGATCACAACCACCGGTGAATCGGGAGCTCCGTAGTCCAGTGCCGTCTAAATGGCCCAATTTTACGTTTCATGTGCAGCTGTGGAGGCTGTTTGCAGGCTCTAGGAGACCATGAAATGAAGCTCTGAGTCTTTTTTCGCGACGCCGGATGTGCGGACAAGAGGAAAAAGGCGTTATTCTCGGTGCTGTGACAAACATGGTCGATATCCATGGCGATTTTCCTGAACCTTCGTCCACAAATTCTCCAAAAACCCTCAAATATACTTATATATTTAGATAGAAAGAGATGGGTAATCTTAAGATTGGACAATTCAAACTTGCGAAGATGAATTTCTTGTATGTGGAACGCAGATCACCGTTGCCGCCAATGCTACTCCACGGCCACCTAACGTGCCATCACAGAGATCCGTAGCTGCAGTTACATAAGCTCAAGCGATATCTTCTGTGCACACTCACAAAATGATTCTTCACATCCGAGATACCATTCTTGTGGCAAGCGAGTGGATCAAACGTCCAGATGCAGGATGCCTCTTCTGTCACATGTCATAATGTTCCGATCTTTGAAATTGATAATTTCCCCACTGGTAATAGCTTTGCAGTATTGAAAATATGCACAGAAATTTGTCACAGAGATTTGGCAATTTCGCCATTTTCCGAAAAGGATACATTACATCGGCGCTGCTGAACTCAACGGAAAACAGAACTCCAGTATTTTCAATGAGAAAATTGTTTCATCTGAGCGCAGCGGAACTCCAAAATTTCATACAGACATTTCCGCATTTGGCCTCCCGCCTCACCAAAATTTCACCTCTTTAGCACCAGCAGCGTGCAGTAAGTTATGGTCTTCACGGCGGCTATTCGCCGCACTCCCAGGATCATGTCGATATCGCCAAAGTAGTCGCCGGCCTTTAGAAAAGCAAGCTCCACCTTGCCGTCTCCCGTTGTCACGCGGCATGCCCCGTCCTTTATGATGAACATCTCCAGCCCAGTGTCGCCATACTGAATGGCGGGATGGAAGAAGAGTTAAAACGATGCGAACGTTGTGTCGGTTGAAACGCCCCTTTTGCGCCCTCAACAATTTGCCAATTTCCATACTTGGGGGAAAATAACTTAGACCACACAGCGCGAACCCGGGGAGTAGGAACTGTTCCTTACTTTACTGCACCTGGTGTTGAATAGTAGCTGCTGATTAATGCGAGGTATAAGTATGGAATGCTCCAAATAAACAATCTACAATACAGGATTTACGTATTGAACGCAAATTTGATTTGTTGCAAGAAATTACATACTGCCTTTTCCGAAGATGCGCCCAACGTTTTACCACATAATATATGATTGCAGCAGGTCCAAACGCGCTGTGTCTCGATTGTAAGGGCGAATTCCTTCTAATACATCCAGATCACCTCCTAGAAAATGGTGCATCACTAGTAAAAAACAGGCCAGATATCATGGTTATGACACTGTCTGCTCAAATTTCAACAGTGTCGTTTCGGCAAATGTGGTCCCAAAATCACACGCTTAATTAACTGCACTAATATTTAACGTGTGTTAATCAACATGTTGATATGCATTCATAAATACACATATTACCGTGTACTAACCGGGTATTACACGGTTCCCGAGGGGTACATAGTTGAAACTGTGTCCCATACACGGAAATGTGTGTATTAACCATTGTTGTGATGGCCGTTCATTAAAGATCGACTTTTCATTATACGGTTTGGCCGCCAAAATCAAGGGGCAGCTGATTGAGCACCTTAGATCCAAGGCGTCACTTCCCGGTTGAATGGACCAAGTGCCAATTAAATAACATTCAGCGTCTGAAAACTGCATTTTGGGCACACAGAAATGTGTCTGATGCCCTCTCTCTGATACGACATGGCCCGCCACTTTGTGTAGTGCACAACTACAGCCCATCGGTGCATTTTCTGTGCACTCATAGCCAAAACACCAGTTTGGGGCCACAAATTGTACCTTTACACAGATTACATGCACACACACCACTACAACACGCAGCCGCGACATAACTCTGATTTTCATGTGCACTGGAATGTTCATTTTCATCGTCACACCCTTGTACACCTCCTTGGGCATGTTGTGGCAACCCTCAAGGAAGCGCTAAATTGTTCTAGCGTGTGCCCTCATCCAGCGGCCCCTCCAAGCTTCTCCTCTCCACTAGGCAACCCCCTCTCGGGGCCTCTCCATGTCGGACGCCACGATCTCCGTGTCGATGGATTCTGATGGGCAGATCTCCGATGGCAAGCGATCGATGGCCCGCCATGGTGTGCGCCACGTGGGCCTCCTTCACAAGGTTACGCTATGCTTTTAGAGCCTTCACGGCCTGCTTATCTCATGCGTTCTGCCTTGTTTATGTGGCGGGCAGCTTCTCGGCGTCATTTGGGCGTTTGTGGCCATCCCCGAATTGGATTCGAGGGATGGCTGGAGGGGATCGTTAGGCAGACAGGCTAACGGGCGAGTCGCTGAAGTGGCGCCTTTGTTGGGCAAGGGGCCCGCGCTCTTGCCACTCTGAGCGGGGGTGCACGGCCTCCTTGGCCACCAACCCCAGCTCGCTTTCTTCACAGGCGTTTTGCGATGTGGCACTTTGCGGTGCTACGGGGTTCTTTTTCATGCCCTGGACACCTCGTACGGCCTAACATAGACTATATTGTCATATGGCCTAACATGACGCTGAACGCCCGTAGTTACATTCACACCTATCAATTAGTAAACTGCGCTCGCACGTACGCAAAATGCACTGGTCTGACCACTCCAAACCGTCCGCTTGACCTTTCAAACTGTCCAGGCCACCCCACAACCGCACGGATTGAGGTCCACCGGCATCACAGAAATGGCTGCGCAGTCAAAGTACCTTTGCACATTTTCCAAGATGGGGCTGCGCCTCCCGTGTACAACATGACACCATAGCAATAATTGAGAGTTTGAAAGTGTTATCTAGTACTTGAAACACAACGACATATTGCAATGGGGCAATGCACACAGGCCCCAATCCAAAAGATAGAATATATAGCTAAACTTCCAAAGCGACATGTACAGCCCTTTGAAATTACTCAACCAATAACAAAGCCCGAGACAAACTCCAATAAACTGATTAAGAATGCATTTTGAAATGTGTCCACACAAGATTAGGTAGCCTCTTTTAAGAGAACATCAACGACTGGGCCCCGTTTCAAGTTACAAAATTTCCACACTAATACAAATACACAGCATACGCTTTTGCACCCGTGCAAACCCTTCGCAATACATTGCCACTCTTGCCTTGTGTCCCATGCCGGTAAGGGAAGGTGCACGACTCATGGGCTATAAAAAGTGCATTGGCAGTTGTGCAAGCATGAAAAGAAAGTGTGTCATAACACACAAACCCTTTAAAGACAAAACAACCCTTTACAAGGGTCTGGCATATAGACAGCCCTCCCCATTCAGAACCAATGGACGAGAAGTTGGCCCTTCCATAGGAGCATGCACAATGCGGTGCACTGGTCTTTTGAAAACAGCCATCACCGCTCACGTTTTCTTTTTTTCCATTGGGCCAACTCTGATCAATTCTTCCCTAAACAACTAAGCACTTTGACCCAAGTCGGTGTGGCTTGCACAGCCAACCTTGGGCGAAGTGTGAAACACACAATCAGCACACAGGATAAGGGGAGCCAACCTATATCTGACTTCCACTTCCTCACCTTGTGATGCACTGAACTTGGCATGGTCATCTTAGCCCATAAACTTCAGTGCATGCAAGTGCCTGTACAGGCACTTATTACATGGCCTACCTATACAGGCACTTATTACATGGCCCACGTATACAGGCACTTATTACATGTAATAAGAGTGCTTAAAGTAACCTTGCATGACACAAGGTCTAACACCATGTCTAGACTTTGAGATCCCATATAGCCAGTACACATGACATGTCAGCCCTGTGTGTGTAAGTGTATTTCAATGTCCACCTTGAACATTATGATAAGCTCACGTTTTTCATGTTGATTACCTGACTAGTTGTCTTTCCTCGCCAGGTCAGACAGCCTAGAAGGTCTTTCTCAGACCAAGGAATTGTTGATCAAACTATCCCAATCTACCCACACAACCTGTGCCCTTGAGGCCCAGGACGTCCCAGAATTGTCATTGAATCCAATCAGTCCGGGGCGCTGAATGGTGACATGAATCTGATGAGAACACAGGGTGGCATCTTACATCGAGCCCTTGCCTCCCTAACCTTGCACCACCCTCGTCCTCACTACTGAGATCTGCGGCTGTCCGTTATTGACCCATTTTTAGAGTGTTTTCTCTTTGTATTCTTTTTCTTTTCGATATTAACAATGATAACATACTTGGGCCATACCATGCAGCGTGCACAGCCCGTATGGTAGATACCCATCGTACGCCAATTACATCAGTGATCACCCAATGAAACGGTGGCCACTACATGGCGTCATGAACACCATGTGATTTGGGGACCGCATTCGACGAAACGGCGCGGTTAGGTTTTGAGTACACCGTGCCATGGCAGTACCATCTGGCCTGCTTTGTTGCTAGTGCATGTCGATGCAACATTCTGGCTGCATTGCCATCGATGCAATGCCCAGTCACTCTTGATCAAATTCTCATATATAAATATTGGGAAGATCTGGTGCGTGCACGAGAGGTGATCCAATGTTGATTTTCTGTTGTTGCTGCAGCACTATTCGTTGTTCAACGCCGATTAAGGACATTGCCGCAACTTGCATCCATGTCCTTGCGCACACCCCATTGCATCAAATTCACTTTCTTTCCAGATTTGCATTGCGCAGGTCATTTGGCTGGAACATGTTACGCATGTTGATCATGCACATGTTGTGATCGACATCAACCTTGGATGGCACCACTGCCAGAGCCTGATTCCATTGCTGGTGCGGCCCTATCTGTAACTCAGAGCGGCATTCAGTACTTGGGCAGTTTCGAGACTTTTGCGTTGGCGTTTGTGTGTAAGTGTGGACGGGGCACTGACAGTCCGTTAAAGAACTTGAGGGAAATTATGTTGCTCTTCGCACCTCAACTACATAATCGTCCGGAACGAAGATGCGGGTCTGGAAGTGTTTCACAATGGCCCTCTCGAAGGCAACGCCGTGTTCGCTGAAAATTGGAAGGTTGCCCATCAGGTCTTCTTGCATGTGCATCATAAGATCTGTCCTCAGACTTGATGGCAACTGGTCCAGAATTTCATCCTTGTTTAAGCCCTGGAGAAAATGGTAAATATAAAGTCGAAAGGCCGCACAAAAATTCCAATTTCATCTCTGTTAATAATGATGCTGTGAAGTACCACTTGAAAGTTTCAAGCTAAAACGGGTCATTATTGGCATTACGCAGTTCAATTGTTGGGTATACTGGCACGGAGTCTAGTTCCTATCTTGTAATCATCCAGAAATCGGGTTGACGTTGATACAATATGGCGATGGTTTTTCGTTGATACAGTCCCGAGTGCCACAAAATGCTCAAACTTCCGCATCAGAAATTTTCACCGTTACGCTTTTCGCTCCTCATTTTGTTTCCAGAGAGTTGTTTTATTTCTTTTATGTTGCTTCGCAAGAAAATCCAAGCGCTTCGTTATCATTTATTAGATTTTCTCCGCAAGAAAGTCCAAGCGTCGTTACATTGCTATGCGGAAGAGTTGAGTATTTGATGGTGACACTGAAACAAATGACTGAACTGGTAAACCACAAGAACTAGCTAACTTGTGCGACCCAGCATAATGCAATCGGCTTGGAGCAATATCTCTGCAATCATCTTTGAAACAATCAAATTTTTTTCGCATGACAAGCGCGTTGACACCTTCTGCATGGTAAATATTAGGCAATGGGGGGAAATTTGGTATCAGGAATTGGCTAATACGCAACGAAGGGATCCACATTCCTGGCCATGGTCGTTGGGGCATGCTGAAACAGCAGCAGCGAGCTGTGTTGCAGAATTTGTGTTGCATCGGGGGCTTGATAAAACCATTTAAGGGTGTTCTCCAGAAGCAGGGAGCATGCAATGGCAAATGGAGTCGCTCGTATCTGGAATTCCTGGATCAGGCTGACGAGTGCATCTTCTGATTCTTATGATGGATTCCTTTTATTGGCTAGAGGCAATGCAAAGGGTAGGGCCCAGCGTCCCTGATGCTAATGGAGGTGGTTCCATCTGCACTTTCTTTAAGATTCGGAAACTATAGTTTTAGCTCTCAGAACCGCGTTGTCGATTATTTTCGCTCGCATTTTGAGGCGAAGAATTACTGATCAGGATCAGGTAACCAAAAACAAGTGATTTCCCGTTGCAGCATCAATATGTGCCGAAAACAAAACGCGACAATGTGTTAGCATCGCAAGATCTGGAGATGCGCTATTCTGCCCAACGACCAACATTTGTACATTCGCGTCTACCACATGATCCATAGTGATTTGGTCAGGGCACATTCCTGAGCGCTCAAGAGTATGCAATGAGCATGTTAGCATGATGAAGCATTCAAAAGCGATTGCCAAGCCGACAGTTCCTTTTCAGTAGCAGGAACAATAACAAGCCTGATATTGACGGCGAAAACACAGATGTTATTTGCGTTTTTGCGTGTAAAAATACTAATTTCATTTTTGCGAGTAAGCCAGCGTAAAAGTGTAAAAACAGAGGCAAATACGCGCCCGTGTACATAAAGACAATACATACAGAATGAGAGAGTCCAGGGACTGCATCCAGACGCGATGGAATGGGCAGAAACAAATTTTGTTCGACGGCGTCATGGACTTGGCCAAGGGCGAGGTGGACACTACGCTGCTTATGCTCGAGGGGGCGGAGGACTGATCATTGTATGCGATTTCATCATGCAACCTGAATATTTCAACGCACCATAAAATGCGTGACTATATACGTAAAAATGGTCGCTTCTGTGTTCCTATGTCTTATGCGTAAAACGTGAATGTAAAAGCGTAAGCGTAAACGCCAATAGGAGGTTTGCGCACATTGTCACTGCCTTTGGCCCGTTGCTTTTTTTCATTCTCAACCATGTTTTCGTTGCTATCCAGATAAATTAGATGGCATAAGCTCTCAAATTAGTATGTTACAGCAATATATGTACAGCACGTTGCAGGTCGTGATGTGGTACACATGGAATATATGAACGTCACGCACGAAAGACGGCTCAGATCGAAAATTTCAATTGTCAAAGTCAGTAGGTGCCTTCGAACACCCAGATTCCAGTCGCAATGCTTTCGATTGTTTTCCATCGACACTGCAGTTAATTCATAATTATTCGATTTAGTGTAATTTATTTTCATTAAACTTCATTAAACTTTTGACCTGAACGCTATGTACTTGTTTGTTACGTGCGGAAGTAATGAGCAAGCAGTTGATGCATAGCTTTGGGCAGTGAATTTGGGAGATTTTGCACAAAACGAACAGATAAGAAAAGTCAGAAAACACTCTCCGCTCTCGGCTGGGGATCACGATCACGAGGAAAGTCATGACTTGCCTGCGACAGATTCCAATTGTACTCGACACTGTCTAAAATCCTGTATGCGATATCGTCGGGAAGCTTGTAGAAGTTTATGAGCTCCGATGCCGCCGCCAACTTCTCGCGAAGGCGCCGCTTGGCGGAGTCGAAATTCTGAATGAGCACGGCGACGTTTCCGAAAACGATGGCCTGCACGATGCCACCAATGAGCATCACGGTCATTGCGAATGACCTAGCCACGCAGCACAAGCAGAAGTGACTGTGGCGCAAGCACTTGCTTCTATGTACCACCTCGGACAAATGCTTCTCGCAATTTAGGAGTTTCGTAGATTGTGGGATCTGTTTGTTTTGTACTTTCGATTTAAACGAACAAATCAACGGACGCCGCTTTGGCTGGGAAAAATAAGAAGCGAAAGCGACCAATTCGCCATTTTATGTGAAATGTCATGGCGATGATGGCGGTGGCGACATTTAATTGTCGAATCGCCTGAATTGCAAAAAGTGCGGTTGTAGTCTTCGTGTGCACGGAAGATGCCAAACGTCGCTGCATGTATTTGATGACCATTTATATTGGAGACAAGTGGAAGTCGGAATTTGGATTCAAATTTGATTTTCGGCTTCCACGCTGGATTTAATGGAAAAGAAGACGTCGACCGCTCAAAGTTAATGGATGTTGTGCAGCTACGTGTGTGGGACAATACAGCACTAACTGCATCTCGTAAATATCAATCTCTCGGGTATATTAGCCCATTTTGACCCGGGGATCACTCAGTGATCTCAATCTCACGATGGAATCCTGTTTGTTTATTATAGAATGGTGGTGGAGATTGATTGATAAAAGTTGCTTAGCAAAAGTGAATTTTTTTTCGTTCATGGATTTTAATCTCTGTGCTAATGCGGAATTTTGAAATTGATTTGGGTTCTTTGCTATATTCCCTATTTGCTCAATTGTCATTCTCATTTCAAATTAGGATTAATCCTCAAATAATGAGGGCTGCATATTTCTTTGACCACCCTGGAAATCGATTACCCCAAGGGGTACAATTAATACATGTATCATTCGTGTGATTTGACATAGTTAACAGGGAAACTGTTGAGAGTTATCAGTTAATTATCACCAACACATCTATGTGATGATAGTTGGAGAATTTTTATTTGATATTTTGAAGCTTAGTTAACTGTAGAATAGTCAGAAAATTTCTGGAAATATCAAGGATCTGCGATAGCTAAAAGCAAAATGCCATCGCCATTTGCATGCGCACAAACTTGCGACAGCATATAAGCCCACAAAAATGTGCTTATTTATCAGCCAATAGCTTTACATAAGCCCTGATTCTTTCCATTTATCGATGCCAGCAAAGGAATGCATTTCGAACACAAGGGCATCGTGTCTACGATGACGATGATCACTACAAGCTTGTCCTAGACAATAAATTGACCTCACCAATGAACATAAAACAGCGATACACACTCAAAATTGCGGCGCACGTGCCCCACTTGTACATTGGAAAGTGCCACGTGCCTCAAATTCAAATTTCTCGTTCAAGGGAATTTTCAACCACGTCGATGTGAAAAGACTGCCGCGTCGCATGTTTGCCCAGGCTTCGCCTACCTGTCCATGTTGGTGGTTGGCACGATGTCGCCGTACCCGACGGTGGTCATTGTTGTGAAAGACCAGTACATCGACATATAGTACTGAGTCTTCAGATTCGCGAACTGCAGGCACTGCTGTATGAGCCAGGGGTCGCCCGTGTGAACATTAGCGCCACCTCCCTTCAAGTTCTCCACCTGCCAACGGGCCTGGCGGAAACAGAACAGGCCCTCTGCGAGGTTATGCGGGTTCAAGATTTGGCTCACGTTTGGTTCAAGTTGAATATTCAAATGCATTCCTGAACGGATTCAATTCACTTCGCTGGTTCCTAGGGCCCGGGCGCTGTGCGCGCTACACGCGCTGTGCAAATTACCTTCTGCACCTTTAGTGTTGCTGCATATCACATGGACTATTCGACATTGTATTGCGATAATTTCCACAATTGTACCATAGTTCTTGGTGTACTCGCCGGATGGGGATACAAAAAAATGTGAATCGTATTTTTTCTGCTTCCAAAGAATTATATATATTTACGTGCATCATTCGACTGCTCGTGAGAATGTGGAAACGAACATGGCGCTATAAATGATAATTATGGTATAGTGTGAGAGTGCTCCTCCCGTCTCCTTGGCGTCCGATTACCCCTGACCTTGAAGTTGCCAATTTTCCTCAACGACAATTTCAAAGCACCGAACAGCCATCTTTCTTGCAAAGCATGATTTTATACAATTGTGTGCGCAATTTACATAGCATGTTATGTTGTTATGGTGGACATGTAAGGCTTACATTCCATGCTTAGCATTTATACACAGATCATTTGCATCATCAAAAACGCCTGTTCACTATAAACTGGAACCCGTGATCAAGGCCCACTCCTCCAGGGGCATTCCGGTGGGAGCCCCTCCTGTCTCCATCCCCTTACTCTACCCGTCCCACCCAATTAGGTGCTTATAAGCACCCGGCCACGAAACCACGCTTAACGCAGAGAGCTTACGGAGTAGCCAACTCCGTTCTCTGTGATTTTAGGATAGAGTCGGTTAAACTTATAGGATGTTAACTTGATAGATTTACAGCAATTTGCATAAAGT